ATGTAAACATATTAAGCTAAGATGGCATTCGATAATTCTAGAATAATGACTAACTAGCGTTTGTGAAGGTCTTTTGCAAGATTTGGGCCTAGTTTTATTAATACACGATAGGCTGGGTTGCACGCTGTCGGTGCTGTGACGTGCGGGTTTGCCAAGGTTGAAGCTTTGCCCAAAGGCCGCCCGCTCCGCGTCTCGCCCCTGGCAGGGTGCAGGTGGCGTTTGGGAACGGGGAACGAAACGCTGGGTTTCCACAAATGCACGATTCATGACCCGTCTCTCTCTTTTGCAACGGCATCGAATTTTCTTCTCTCTTTGTTTTGTTTTGTTTTTTATTTCTTTCAAACACATTTGCAAGGCTGCACAGTTTTGTGACTGCATATTTTTTTTGGGCCTAGAAACGATAAGACTGAATTTATTTACCAACAAGACCGAAAAGATAGTAACTAGGTGGTTTTGTGAAAAACTAGTACGCAGTCGTTGCAGTGTGACCTTCTCCTATAGTGTTTTGACCAAGCTGTGAATATTGCTTTATCGTCTGTCATGACCCGCAACGTGCCCACGTTGCCCAGGATGTGGACGAACCGAGTAAGCAGACGTCGAACTAGCACGACGGCCCGCTCATGTCATGCCATGAGTTTACATGGACGTCAAATCGCCAAGTGTGCCGCGCTTCCGTGGAGCGGTAATGCCCCCTGTATCTCGCTACCGCCATTTTGCCATCATTTCTATTCAAGTATCGAGGAACGATAGCGGAAAGCAAGCCTGCATGAAGAGCGGAAATTTCAACGGACCACGACCCCGCCGCACACTAATCCACGTCGAGGCTGGACTCCCAGGAATCCGTGTTTTGACAGCGCGATGCTGAAACTCGGTGTTTATTGCTGGCCCCGGTAGGCCAAGTCTAGGTCGTTTACGAGTTGTTCGTCATTGGCTGGCCCCGCCGTGTTTCATCTTTTCCAAGTGTGCGGCAAGGCTGCACAAGCGCCACTACCCTCCTTATAGCCTAGGATACGATATTCGCTAATGAAGAGGACCACTACCAAGAGTCTTGGTACGGCGGACAAGCTGCAAAGGAACGCTTCAGAACCACAATTGTGCATTGTTTGATCGGGCAAATGAATGTCCGTCCAAACAACTTTGCCTGAGTCGAGACGACCGGTGGCATGGCCACGGGTGGAGAGGCACGGGAGGGCAGGGCAGCAGGTGCTGGTGTATATAACATACAGACATGTCTCCTCCATCATATCCTCATCAGCCTCTGAGTTCATCAACCAGCAGTCTTTTACATTCTTTTCCAGTCCTTCTTTTCGATTCTTTGCCTTTCGCAAACCACCTTCTTTTCAACCAACCATCTAAAACATTCGTTACTGCTAGTTCAGAATGAAGTTCTCCGCTGCTCTTATCGCCGCCGTCGCCCAAGTGGCTTCTGCTCACTACTTCATGGACAAGGCCATCGTCGGTGGAACTGAGACGCCTGCCTTCAAGTACGTTCGCCAGTCGACTCGTGCTACCAAGTACAACCCCATCAAGTTCTCCTCCAACCCCGCGGCCGACATCCGTGACAACTCCCACGCCGATGGTCCCGATATCGTCTGCAACCAGGGTGCTTTCTCCTCTGCCGGCAAGACCGATGTCCTGACCGTCAAGGCTGGTGACGAGATCCGCCTCAAGCTCGCTGTTGGCGCCAAGTTCCAGCACCCTGGTCCCGAGCTTGTCTACATGGCCAAGGCCCCCGGCAGCGTCAAGACCTTTGACGGAAAGGACGGCAACTGGTTCAAGATCCACGAGCTCGGTGTTTGCGATGGTGGTGATTTCACCTCGACCGCCTGGTGCGATTACAACAGGGATTACATTGCGGCCACGATCCCCAAGGATACTCCCAGCGGCGAGTACCTTGCCCGTTTCGAGCACATTGGTGTTCACCGCTCCCACGTCAACCAGCCTGAGCACTACGTCTCCTGCATGCAGATCAAGGTTGAGGGTGGCGGTAACGGTACCCCCGGTCCCACTGTCAAGGTAAGTCTTCTTACTCTCTCCATAACAACCACAGTCCATCATTTACTAACCATTCTTACAGTTCCCCGGTGCCTACAAGGCCTCTGACCCATATGCCAACTTCAGCATCTACAACGGCCGCAAGGCTTTCCCCATGCCCGGCCCTACCCTCTGGAAGGGAGGTGCGGGAACCGCCAGCTCTGGCTCTTCCTCTGCTGCCCCTGCCAACAACGCCCCTGCTGCTCCCGCTGCCACCACTCTCGCCACCAAGCCCGCTCCTGCTGCTACTCCTGCTCCCGGTGCTGGCTGCGCTGCTCAGTGGGCCCAGTGCGGTGGTTCCGGTTTCACCGGCGCAAAGTGCTGCGCCAAGGGCTCTTGCAAGACCATGAACCCCTACTACTCCCAGTGCCAGTAAGCGTCTCGTGCTCTGGTATGATAAAAAAAGGTTCAACGCTGAACGTGTGAACGATGATGGTGGATGGGCGGCTTGCTCACCACTGTCCCTCTTCTTTGGCTTCCGGGCTGCTGTACAATCTTTCTCAAGGGCTTTCTTGGGGGACCTGGCTACTTTGACTGCTAGCTTTTTCCTGTATATACTCGAGGCTCCATACTTTCTTGTCATATAAATCATTTAGTTGTCTGATTCTTGCTCCACTTGCCTTTTACCATAAGTGATGTCTTCTGTGAAAACTGGTGAGCCTATAAGCATTCCCGATTGTGGATGGTACTATACAGTACTCTGGATGTCACACGCAATCGTGAGTAATTCCATTGGATTGTTATGTTTTTGTGTATTGAGAGTTGAATAGTCGACCATGGAAAAGAATCGTCTCCACCGAGGCGCTCTGTTAAATGTCATGCACACTGTTCAAGTCTTGCATAAACCGAACATCAGCATATAAATAAAGTATCACTTTTCATCAATCATCATTGACATATCGATACTTGCAGACAACAAAATCCAGGGCCTATAGTTGATATAACCCCGTTTCAGAAAACATACGACCACAGAAGTTGTTGGTAGAGTGACAAACGAGATCTATATTTTGGCAATTATTGTTGTAGCAAGACTTCCTGCTCTTCTTTGGATATACCAAAAAGATACAAAACGTCCAGCATGCTCTTCGAGTTCAAGCGGGCAGGAGCCTGCATCTGCACCTTTGGCTTTGCATGGAAAGCAACACCAAGACCGGCTACGCCCATCATAGGAAGATCGTTGGCGCCATCACCGATGCATACTACTTGTTCCAAGAGTATGTTCTCTTTGTCGGCGATTCCAAGCACGTGTTGTCGTTTCTTTTGCGCATGGACAATCTCGCCTGTCAATTCGCCCGTGAGGGTAGCTCCGTCTTCAGAGACAACGAGATGGTTAGCAAAGGCATAGTCCAGGCCGAGCTGCTCGCCCATCCAGCCGGTCAAGGGCGTGAAGCCTCCGCTCAAAACGGCAGTTTTGAAGCCCAGTCTTTTGAGTGCAGTGATGAGCTCCTTGACACCTTCATTAAGCGTTATCCTGGGCTTTAGGGTTTCGAAGACGGTGCTTGGCACGCCTTTCAGCAGTTTGCATCGCGCGCGCAGACTAGCCTCAAAGTCTAGCTCGCCGTTCATGGCTGCAGCCGTAATGGCAGAGACTTCTTTCTCGACACCAATCAGCGAGGCAATCTCGTCAATGACTTCTTGCTGAATGAGGGTGCTGTCCATGTCAAAGACGGCAAGTCGTTTGTAGCGCCGGTAAACTGTGTCTGCTTGAAAGACGCACTCGACACTCCATTGACGCTCAAATTGTGCGACGGCATCGTGCCTCCGCAGGCTGTCGAGCGTAATGGTCTCAGGGCTGGGGAGTGGAAAAGTAAGCTCGGCTACGCGACATTGCTTGGTTGCTTCCAGTCTCTTGGTGGTGATGGAGTCGCGTTGCAAGCCTGGGATGATTGTCGTGAGCACAACCTCAAAGTCGGTTAGACAGTCGATGGGCCCGGTTTCATGAAAGAGAGTTGCGACGAGGCGGGTTGGTGAGGCATCGGGGGTGGACATTGTGGGCGATGGAGGGGTAGTGAATGTTGTTGGGGGGTATGGTGGGAGGGGTAACAAGATTTTCGCAGGGGTTGCGGCCTGGGATTCAGGTACAATAGCGGCACCGTCAGACAAGCCCGCCACGGCATTTCATCAACAAGCACTTGGGCAGAGGTGCGCACCGTAATCATGTATATGGAATGTTATTCTGTATAGTTGAAATACGCCCAGAATTCAGTAATCTGTACGCAGCACCAATTCAGATCAAAGGCGTCTATACTATTATCTGCGAAAAGACAGTGGAAACATTACAGTCCCAAAGAACTGTCACCTTGAATCATGACATCTGTGTCCACATAATAGTCAATAGAATTTACCAAGCCACGTACTTTGGTATGGTTCATCTCGCCTGTACTTGGCCTAGAGTGCTGCAAGTTTAGAGAGATGCATTTCGATTCCAATATCACACGATAGAGAGAATGCGTATTGGGTTTGGTAAGCACAAAAAGTACTCATGGAAGGTGGTCTATGATGACACATGGAGTTTTGTATATAGAACAGAGTTGATAAGAAGAGTAGTGCTGACGTGTGCAAAAGCAATGTCGACGAGTAATCGAAAAGAGGATGCCTGAATTACTACCAAAGCTTGTACTATTGGATAGTGCTGGTGGCTGACCGAATGCAAAATTGGAATACTACCACATTTTGCAGTGGGGCATACGATGCTGTCAGCATTATAGTAGCCAGTCTTTGAGCGGTTCAGCCGTGCACTAGGCATTGTCCAATAGCTGTGCACCTTTGTAATAATCATGGACAAAGCACCTCGTCTACAAGGATGTGCATCTGTCTAGTTCTGGCCTGCGACTGAGATTAGCCAAGGTATGCACGACATGTTGCTAGTGCAGCCGCTGTTTGCTGCTTCCGTACTTATGGATTAGTACTAATAGTTGCAAGGCCTCCCCCTCCCCACAAGACATTGCACACAACCCGCAAACACAATGGACGAGTACACGCCCCAGAAATCAAACATCCTCCAGTCGCCGCCGCTTGATATCGCGGCCAAGTACGATGCCGCCTGGGCCACGGACAAGGTCATCCTCATCACGGGCGGAGCGAGTGGGTTCGGAGCAGGCTTCGTTGAGAAGTGGGTGGCTAGCGGTGCGACGGTCATTGTGGGCGACATCAATGTGTCCAAAGGTGATGGCTTGTGTCGCCGCATCAATGCCCAGGCCAGCGGTAATGCAAAGGCACACTTTGTGCACTGCGACGTGACGGATTGGCAGTCTCAAGTCAATCTGTTCAAGGAAGCGGTCAAGCTGAGCCCCCATGGCGGCATCGACTGTGTGGTTGCCAATGCAGGCATTGCCGGCCACGACATACTTCAGGAAGGCTCTGGCCTGGATGCCGCTGAACCACCCCCGCCCAAATTTAACATCATCGACGTCAACCTCACAGGCGTGCTCTATACGACGCACCTGGCCTACTTCTGGCTGCCCAAGAACCCGGGTTCGTCGCCCTGTAGCATCGACGCGAAGCCTTCGACAACTTCGCCCCGCGACCGCCACCTGCTCATGCTTGGCTCGGTGGCATCTCTTGCTCCCATTGCCATTCAGCCGCAATACTGTGCAGCAAAGCATGCTGTGCTCGGCCTGTTTAGGACCCTCCGTGCTACCAGCAACCTGCAGGGCATACGCGTCAATCTGCTTTGTCCTTACTTCATCGACACGCCCATTGTGACAGCGGGAGCACGCTTCATCCTTGCAGGCGGCGCGACGGGCAAGGTTGAGGATGTGGTTGATGCTGCCACGCGCTTTGTAGCCGACTCGCGCGTCCTGGGACGTGCACTCTGCATAGGGCCAAAGGTACATGTTCGTCAGAACTCGAAAGGCGAGTGGGACTTGGCCACACCCGGTGACCCCAACAGCATCGAGACGGCCCTGTTCGAGCCGTATGCCGACGATTGGGAGGACCAGGACCAGTGGAACCGCAACTTTGTCAGGATTCTAAACTCGATCCAGGCGGGCAGGGGTTGGTTCGGATGGGCACAAGACATTGTCAAGGCGACGCTGTACACCCTAGGCATCGGACGCTGATTGTTGTTGAGATGGTACCAAAAGCGAATGCACAATGATGGGCTTGTGGGGGATGTAGTTTAACGTCAATCACTCTTATGGTATTAGGATCAGATGCTTGGGTAGATCGTGACTAGCCAAACACAGGCTCCATTGTACCTTGTTAGTAACGACTAGGGGATCATAATAGAACTACTCCTCTCACACACATTTGCGAGATTCTGTGCATACGCCTTCATATCTACTACTACGCACGAAGAGATTTGGGTTATCGATAGCATCACGTGAGTCCTCTCGAAGTTCTTTACCCCAACCCTAAACCTAACCCTAGCCCTAATCAAAAAACCACAAATATGATGTTCCAATCCCGCTATTACTGGCACATACGACCATTGGAAACTGAGAGCTAGCCATCCCGTCCGATCTGGCATATATAAGCAGTTTACCGGCGGATTAGTAGTTAGGTGGGTGACCACTAGCGAATCCCCGCTGTCGTNGCATATATAAGCAGTTTACCGGCGGATTAGTAGTTAGGTGGGTGACCACTAGCGAATCCCCGCTGTCGTATGTTTTTGTTTTACAATTTTTATTTTTTGCCCAACTTGTATAGATCACGTATCTAGATTTTAGTATGGAGGTATGTATCGTATAGAAAATAAGAGTTCAATATCTTTTGATAAGCGTTAAAGTCGCCTCCTTTTTATTTTGGTTGTTGTGGCTGTCTAGACTGTCTAGAATATGTTGGACAGTCTGAGTGCCGCTAAGACGCGTTCTGGGACGTGACTAGTGTGCTACCAGATCGCCGTCGATGCATCTGCGAACCAAGATACTTATGCAGCTAGACCAGGATGCTAGCAGCCGGACGTTGCAACGGTACCATGCAATCACTCCAATTCAAAAGCACATGATGGATTTGTCTACAGACTCTAGCCCGTAATTAGCTCCTGCACATGTGAGTTCCAGCTCAGACTCGTCTCTCGGCTAAACACGCCCAGGTACAATGTCGCATTCCGACCAATTAAAGCACATTGGGTTAGCTTCCGCGGGGCGCTTGCCGGCTCACCCACATGCGCGTGTGATGTCATGCCGCCTGCGGTTCCTGCCTGCCTGCTGGCCTAGCCTTGTCCATTTATTCTCCTGCCACCATGATTCGACACCATCTGCACTTGTGCCCCCCTTTGCACACGTTGGTGACCGCATTGGGACGAGCATTGCCATCACCAAAACAATTGTCATCGCCTGCAGGCAAGTGGAGCGGCTAGCCAGTCTAGCCTGAACCTTTTGCTCTTTGCTGTCCTGTCGCTACCATCATCGCTCTGTCACTGCCCGAGTCTGCACGTGTTGTTGACTTCCAAACTGCGCGACCCACCGAGCCATCGATCCCATCTGTATGCCTGCTGGGAATATGGCGGAAACTACGTCCTCGCCTCAAGACAAAGGCGGTATCGCGCCTGTGGGCATGGTCATTGAAGAGCCGTCTTTTCCGAATATCCTTGGCCATGAACCCAAGACGACACCCCATGCCACATCCCCCGTCGAAGATACCCCGGCTACAGAAATGGCACAGGAGAGCGTCTCGCGAAAAGACTATGGAAGTGGGACGCATGCACCCTTGGAAACCACGTCGAGCAACCAAGACTACTTTACCTCGAAGTCACGTCCAGCACAACAGCAAAGATGGGCGACCGAGCGACCAAAGCCCTCCGTAAGGCACTCACTGCTCACAAAGGAACAACAGACACAGAAGAAGAGGCCAGCGCAGCCAGACCGACACGCGACCATAACATTTGACGCCGATACCGATTCTTCAGACTCCTCCGACGATGAGGATGTCTACTCAGGCAACAAAAGTCTTGGGCATGCTGACGAGCTTACTACTCAGACGACTCGTAAATCACGTCCCTTCTCCCGATTCCGAATCGCCAACGAACACTTCAATACAAAGGCCAGGGTTTCAAGAGCAGACGGACGGCTGAAACTGAGCATTCTTGAAAAGAACTTGGGTAGTGGATACATTGCAAAGGCTCTGGGGACTATTGTCAAGAAGCATGGCAACGACGAGGACCGAGGCCCAGAATCCTATAACGACATAGACGCCACCAAGGTCGCTCCGGAAGATGACGAGATGGAACACAATCCTGCAAGGCGGGTGAAGCTTAACATTGTTATCATCATTATCGGATCGCGCGGAGACATTCAGCCCTTCATTCGGATCGGTAAGATCCTAAAAGAGGATTATGGACATCGGGTTCGTCTGGCCACACATCCGGCTTTCAGGGACTTTGTTGAAAAAGACTCGGGCCTGGAGTTCTTCTCGGTTGGTGGCAACCCAGCAGAGCTGATGGCTTTCATGGTCAAGAACCCAGGTCTTATACCCAACATTGAGACGATAAAAGAGGGAGAGATTGGCCGCAGGAGAGCGCAGATGTACGAAATGTTCCAGGGCATGTGGCGGGCATGTATCAATGCGACGGATGACGAGACTGACACGACCAATGTAAAGATGAGTAAGTCATACCTGTTTCCCTTGCGAAGAGTTCACAAGGAAGTGGGACCAATTGGTAATTGGGTCTCGTGAAGTAACGCCAGAGATCATTGTCTTTCTTGAGCTAACCTCCTACAGTGGGTGACAGAGCTCCTTTTGTTGCTGATGCCATTATTGCCAACCCTCCCAGTATTGCACCGCAGCATATTGCTGAGAAGCTGGGTATTCCACTCCACATGATGTTCACGTAAGTACCAGAACCCATGCACAAGAATTGCCATTGACGTATCCAAGCTTTCCATACACACCTACAAGCCAATTCCCTCATCCGCTCGCAAACATCAAATCCAGTAATGTCGAAGCGACTTATAGCAACTTCATTTCTTACCCGCTAGTTGAGATGATGATGTGGCAGGGTCTAGGCGACCTTATCAATCGTTTCCGTACTCAAATCCTTCATCTCGAGGAAGTCAGTAAAATATGGGCGCCAGGCCAACTGTATCGACTCAAGGTCCCATACACATACATGTGGTCTCCAAGCCTTATTCCGAAGCCAAAGGATTGGGGCCCAGAGATTGACATTTCTGGGTTTGTTTTCCTCGACCTTGCGTCGTCATTCAAGCCGCCACCCGAGCTGCAAAAGTTTCTAGACGATGGACCTCCCCCTGTATACATTGGGTTTGGTTCGATTGTCGTCGACGATCCAGACGCATTCACAGAGCTCATTTTCGAGGCTGTCAAGCAAGTCGGCTGTCGCGCTCTAGTATCCAAAGGCTGGGGTGGCTTCGGTTCGAACGCTGATTGCCCAGACAACGTCTTTATGCTGGAAAATACCCCTCACGACTGGCTATTCCCTCGCTGCAGTGCTGTAGTACATCATGGTGGAGCGGGAACTACAGCCATTGGCCTCAAGTGCGGGATACCGACTATGATTGTTCCATTCTTTGGTGACCAGCCTTTTTGGGGTGCAATGGTCAGCAAAGCAAAGGCAGGCGCGCACGAATGCATACCCTACAAGAAACTCACACCTGAGCGTTTGGCTGAGGGCATCAAGCAGTGCCTCACAGATGAAGCCAAGGAAAATGTCAAGAAGATTGCTGACAGCATCGCCAAAGAGGGTGACGGTGCACTCAACGCTGTGCGCTCATTCCATCGGTCGTTGCCACTTTCAGGGGAGGGAAGTATGCGATGCGACTTTCTCGATAACCGCGCTGCTGTCTGGAAGATCAAGAACACGCACGTCAAGCTGTCTGCGCTGGCCGCTGAGATATTGGTTGAGAAGAAGAAGCTCAAATGGAGCGAGCTACGCCTCGTCCGTCATTATGAATGGAACGACTTTGGTGGACCTGGCGAGCCCATCACTGGAGTCTGGGGCAGTCTCATGAGCTCTTTCTCGGATGCTGCTGCCGGTGTCGGCGGTATGCCTGTCGAAATTGGCAAGAGCATCAGAAAGAGAGAGAAGATCAAGGAGAAGAAGCGAAGGCTGCAAAGTCGCAATGCCGACAAGAAGACTGTGCGCGCAAAGATAGGTGCAGGTACCTCTGAGCAAGTCGAGCAAGATGTGAAAAATCAACAAAATGGTGGTAGACCGCAGCCTACCCGCAACGAGACGACCCTTTCGAAGATATCGGAGCCTAGCGAAGACTTGGCTGATGAACTTGGACGCGAGGCTGCTTTCGGCTTCCGAAAGACTGGGCATGCCATTGCTCGCTTCCCTATGGAAGTGACACTTGCAATCACTCAAGGTTTTCACAATGCACCCCGCTTATACGGCGATGAGACGGTCCGCCGTCCGCCTCGTGTCACTGGGTTTCATTCTGGGACACGCGCTGGTCGTGATGAATTCCTGTACGGTGTCAGGGACGGTGTCTCAGGTCTTGTCATGCAGCCATACCATGGGGCGAAAAAGAATGGAGTGATGGGTGCCTTGCGAGGTGTCGGCTTTGGAGTTGGTGGCTTTGTTCTCAAAGATATTGCAGCTTTGCTCGGACCCATGGCATACATGATGAAAGGACTAGACGCCGAATACATGAAGCGCTATCAGTCAACCAGCTACCTCCGCCGTGCACGCATTGCCGAAGGACAGCAGGAAATGTTGATGCTGACTTCGACATCGCGCAATGCAGCTCAACAGGCAAGCACAGTAAGTGTCGAGAAGAAGGAAAACATCGAAGAAAAAGTCAGTGTGCGTTGGAACGCGCTCCAAAATATCATTGCAGAAGACAAGAAGCGACACAAAAATGGCCTTGTCGGTTCACTCACAGGGCGGGGCGACGAAAAAGATGGGCAGCGGGTAGGTCGCAAGAGCACCGAAGTATCGAGAAAGGACACCCGTCGATCCATGTCCAAGGGACGAGCTAATACGCGTGCGCCCAACGACAAGCCGAGACGAGTGCATCCCGACGAGCTAGCCAAGTCAGAGAATCAGGGTGCAGCAAAGAAGAGCATGGAGGGCAAGCCGCGAGTCGGCGTGAATAGGATGAGTACTGCGCCCACGACGACGGTAGAACGGAATCAACATGGGGACCGAGATACG